ATCAGCTGTTTCCAGCAAATAAATATAAATCAGGAATAGTTTAAAGGCAAGCACTATTTTAAGAATCAACACAGGCCCCAAGGTTAGCAGTTAGATGCTTCAGTTATTCTTTTCCTTACCTAGCTACTCCATATGAAGGGATCCTAAATTTCAAGGTCACGAGAGGTCTCAGATTCATATCAGACAGGTCTCTTCTTATAACAGCCAGCTCAAATGAAGTACTCTGAGAGACAGAGAATAGCAGAGCACAAGTCACCACATACCCCCTCCTGCATCTGCCCGCCCTCCTTCCTCAGACTACCTTTTCAAGCCTCAACTACCCCCTCGCCCTGCCAAGGTGGTGATTTTTACAGCAGCTGTTGCTCATCCCAGCTTGATCTTGGTCAGGGCTTCAGTTAGCCCTTCATTAAGCCTGCACCAGGGCAGCTGGGGATGTTGTTTCCCCTCCTCCAAAGCCCTCGTTCTGTAACTTGTGTGTGGAAAGGAACTTGGTATCTGCTATCTGCCTGCTCTTCTCTGTAACTGAGGTTTATTGTGTGGAGCTGGCTGGTAACTCCACTGCACCACTGTGGGTACAGGCACCTCGTGCACTGCCTCTTCACCACAGGTCACACACACTTCAGGAACACACAGCATTCTTGCCATCAGAATGCTCTGGCATGACAAAGTTGTGGTGGCAAGAACATCTTTTTCTGTAGAAAAAACACATTGCAGAAAAGCCCTGAGTGAACTCCTTGTCATCTTTCATAAGCCCTGAGGCATGTGTTTTGTTAGCAGAGTAGATAACAAGATGCTTACAGCACTGTATGTAATTAGGAAAAAATCTACACCGTGAAATATTAGTGCTGTCACAAGTAAGAACTAGATAGGCATGTGTGAATCCTTCTGAAACTCAGTCATCCTCCTTGTTACCACCAAGCCAAATCAGAAAACTGGCCTGCTGCTGCGCAGCTGGGAGATGTTCAGGAAAGAGCTGGGCAGGGTCCACCAACCCCGACAGGAAAGGCTTTGCAAACTGCACTTGTTGAGCCTGAGGAAGAGACAGTTCCAGGGAGCCCCCCCCCCCCCCCCCAAACTACAAGGGGTTTATTGAGAAGATGCATCTGGGCTCTTTACTGAGGTGCTCTGTGGAAGAAAAGGGACAAGGATATAAACTGAAAAAAAAAATACACCAAAACAACAGATTTTAGATAAAGCAAGTAAATTTCACTATGAGAATAAATTAAGGAAGGAGTCCTTGAAGGTTTTCAAGACTGGGCAAATCCGTGAGCACTCTGATGTGGATTAGGTGTGACCCTGCTTTGGGCAGGAGAACCCTGAGCGCCCTCCAGGCAGGGTGTCCCTGTGATGCTCCGAACCAGCGGAGTCCTTGCCGAGCCAGGCAGGATGCAGCCGCTGGATGTCACCCTGCGCTCACCCATCAGCGGAGCTCCCGCCGGAGAGCCAGGGATCAGCTCGCACGGCAGCATGAAGGCTTTCCTAGTTACAAGATTTTTACTTAAGGTAATGACTTAGGAGTATTACCCTTCTTCAAAGGCTGTACACAACAGGCTAGTTTAAAAGCTTCCGAATCTCCCCCTAAGGCTGAAAACAATACTAACTTCAGCCAAATAGATTCCATGACTTAAGAGTTCATCGAGTCCTACATAACCTTGTTTATATGCAAACCTAACATACACATCAAGCTGTGCATATATTTCCCTTATGCTGGGATAAAATGAACAGAAACAGACTCTGAGATCTTGTCAAGAAAACAACACACACTGCATGCAAGATATTGTGTACGTATTGCTGAGACAATAATGGTGAAACTGCTGCGAGTTCCCCAAAGAAACTGCAAGGACAATCATCACTGTAGGGGAAAAAGAAAGGTTCTAGAAAATCAAAAGCATCCTCCACTGCCTCCTAGCTTAATATTGATTCCCCTCTCCTCCTGAAAGTCAGTTCCTGTTTATTTCAGCTGGGTATGCTGCAGCATACTGAGGGGTATGAGTGGCAAGCCGTGTTCTACCGAAATGAGCTCCACCTAAGAATGCAAAATGCAGGAAGCAGATCTGAGTTCAGTGTCAAAGCTATTGATCTTTGACAGTCAATTTCACGTTCATAGTGCTGGCAAATGCAAGCACTCAAAAATTCCCTACAGAAATCCCGTGCTCCCCTTGTTATTTCTTCCCTCCTCATTTCCCCCAGATTTCTTCACACATGTCTGGGATCATTTTGTTTACCTTCAGTGCTACTGCTGCAAAGATTGTTACACTTCCCTGCTTTCGTAAAGGGTGGAAGCCAAGACTTCTCTAAAAACAGAAGAGTCTCATTTCTCTCTTGTAGTAAGCAGCCTTAGCAAAGGGCATTTTAAGTTAATCAAACCTTGCGAAATTTGTGAGAAAATAATGTAAACTGGCATACTGAAAATAAAACCAAGTGCTGATTTGATTCAAGTGAATGAATGATAATCAAGACATATTGTGTATCTCCTCTAGAGTGAGAAGACCATGTCAGCCTCAACATCTCTGCTCTTCTGAGCACACACACCATCCCTCATGCAAAAAAATCTACTTGGAATGCCTTCCTGGTGTAGCATTTACACAGTGAAGCGATTGTCCTCAAAGAGGCAGCAGCCAGGGACATCAAGAATTGCTTCATTCCTGGTATCACATGACACAATGACTAACGAATGAAGTCACAATTCTCCTTTGGACAACTTAAAAAGGGATCCTGCCAAAAAGTCACACGATGAAGCTAGAAATTTATCCGGTCTATCGTACCAGTGTTCAGACTGTAGCACAGGCCATCAGTGCCTGTGAGATGACAGTTTTACACAATGCAGATGTATAACACAAGTACCTATGACATTGTGCAGAAGAAAGGTGCTAAAAAGCTTCACTAGGTTGGAAACTGTCCAACAGTTGCACATTAGTGACTGAATTCAGCAGGCAAGTAGCTTTGCCAGTACAAAGCTTCTTCACAGGCAGATGCTTTATGAATACCACAAAGTGAACCCTTATCTTACTTCCCTCAGAATTAGATTTTCAAGTACCAAAGACAGACTTCGATGCCCCTTGAAAGTTTGCTGAGTTATTTTTCTGTACAGAAGAGATCGCTGCAGAACAGGGTCTCTGATGGCAGCCAGGGAAAAGGCAAAGAGGAATAAACACACACAGCCCACATTCCACCACGATGGCTCCAGACTTGCCATAGTTGCCAAAGAAGTCATAGCAGGTTGTTTTTCAGTACAACTCCAAACACTGCCCTTTGTGCAACCTCATAAAGGATAATAAACGTGCACCTACTCCCTGCTGTATGCATCCTGCACTGAAAGGATTCTCTTCTTAATTGCTGTTTTGCTGTCCGTATGTAGTATCGATATGAATGTGAAGTGCCCACGGCTCACACAAGCTTGTTAAAGAGCAAACACGAGCTGAAACCTGCTACATCTGCAAGTTTTTCTTTACAAAGACTTGGATTAAGGATTAAGTGCAATGTCAAGAACTATAAACACAGGTCTTATTTCATACCACAGAATGTCCAGTTCTGGACTGGAGCTCCTGCTCTGTAAGTGATGAGGAAAGAATGGTATCTTTGTGGAGAAATGTATATAAAGCTTTTTAGACCTGCCTCTTCCACATCCGTGTAAAACTGGGTATGCTAATAACTGTAAGCAATTATATGAGATGACAATTTGAGGAAAACTTGTATTTTGCAATAGCAAACGCTAAACCTCACCTCACAATTTTTATTCATAGCTACAGGGCAATTTAATGTATTTTGTGTGTTATTTGCAAACACATACTGCTACATCTACTATGTAGTACTCGCAGCTTCCAATGTGTGTCCAGGTCTGGGATGCCATACAGCTGATCCAAAATGGACACATGGAATTGAAAACACCTCACCTTGAAAAGTTGTGCTGATTGGAAACCATCCAGCTAAAAAATTACAGTTATTCTGGTTAAAAAGTAACTGCTTGATCACAGACAACTCTGCCAGAGGTCTTGACAAATGCAAGTACTGCTAGCCTTAAATTGTTCTGTCATTCAACCTGCCCAAAATAATAAATTTTTTTTCTAAAAGGTAAAGGCTGAGGGAGCTGGAGTTGCTCAGCCTGGAGAAGAAAAGGCTAATAGCAGGGAAGACCTAATAGCAACTTTTCAATACTTGAAGGGGGCTAATAAGAGAGATGGGGACAAACTTTTTAGCATAGCCTATTGTATATAAGACAAGAAGTAATGGCTTTAAATTGAAGGAGAACAGTTTAGAATAGATATAAGGAAGTTTTTATGAGAGTGGTGAAACATTAGCGCAGGTTGCCCAGAGAGGTGGCAGATGCCTCATCCTTGGAAACATTAAAGGTCAGGTTGGGCAGGGCTCTGATCAACCTTATCCAGTTGAAGGTGTCCCAGCTCACTGCAGTGGGGTTGGACTAGATGACCTTTAAGGTCTCTTCCTACTCAATACCATTCTATTGTTTCTTTGGCTCAGTGACACGGTTTCAGCTTGAGCATCACCTGTATCAACACACACAACAGATGACAGGCTCTGACACACTGCTAAAGCCCATATTTAGTTACTGGTGATTTCACAGTTGTTAGATAGCTCTTGCAACAAAAAAGATTTATTCCAGCGAGTCACAGATGGCTCACCCAAGGAAGGCATTTCTAATAGCTAATACATGGTGTAAGGTTATGGCAGGAAAATACAGGTCAAGAGCTAATCCCATACAAAGCATTTTTATACCACAGAGACTTTCAGCAATTCAAAGGCTAACAGCTTTATTAACAAGCAACAAAGTATATGCAGGTAAAAAATTTCTAAAGAACAAACCCTATGTAGGACTATGTCCCCATCCCAAATCGCTCCCTTTAAAGGAGAATTTTCTTGTATTGAAAAACTACTTGTTTCACAAACATCTATCACAGGAAGGGCTATATGTTCAGGGATGGTGCCCAGGTTTCCTCCCGTCAGCTTTCCCTGGTAGCAGCCGAGAGATTGCATAACTGCTTTCAGCGCCATTCGCAGAAGAAATCAATGTCCTGAAAAAAGAGAGTTAAAAGGAAAGAGGTTTTGAGATTACGGAAGGATTAATGTTCCTTTATCACCTCCCGAAGGTACATGAGTAAATGCAAACACAGAAGAAGCTGTAATATGCACAAAGTACACCATAATATATTCAAAGGATTCTGGAAAAGAAAAAGGTCTTTTGTCTTTTGACTCCTTTTGCATAGCTCAGATAATTTGTTCCTGCCTTGAATTCTTAAAATTAATTAGACAATACCACCTTCTCTCTTAATTTCAAACAATTTCTTTATCTCCCTTTTTTGTTGCATTCCTACCTCCATACCTGGATTGGTTAGTCATATGTAACCCTTTATCCTTAAACAATTCCTAATACCACATGAAAAGAACAGCTTAGACTGAGGCAGTGCAGTACACTTGCTACAGAGAAATGCTAACTAAAAAATAAATGCTGGTATTCTGCTTGAAAACTTCTGGCATGGAATAGGCTTTCACAGCAAATTGTTTTCTTCCTGCTATTATCTTATATGCTGATGTGGATCCCGATTCTGCCACAGGGAATCATCATACTGTAGTGCTCATTTACATTAGTGTATCCCATCTAGCTGTCCACTGCAAGCAGGACACAGGGAGCTGTTGCAGAACAGCTGCTTACTGGTAATGAAAGTACTTTCATTTAGCCAGCAAATGGCCAATTGTGACTGAGGGAAGGCAGGCAATCCAACACCATTCTGTAGTACACATAGCCTATTGTGTTCAGCCCACTGATTGATTCAGTGGTTCAGAAGTAACAGCATTGAGAAAAAAAATCTCCTAAGATTTATTGCTTAAAAAGCAGCAACAGGCATGGATTACCCAAGTGCTGCACAAAAAGATGCTGAGAGAAGTACACAGGCAGAAAGGTTTATTATAGCAAGGTCCGTAGCTAATGGCATACATTGACTCCAACAGTAAAAGTCACTTTTTGGGAGGGGGAAAAAAAAAGGTAAAACAAGGGTCAGAGACACATAGGCCCCCAGGCTAACGTTCTCTTTCAGGCTTCTCTCCAGGGCAGCAGGTGCCCCCACAATACTTTTCCCCATCGAGGTCCCTATCAGACACAATGCCATTTGTATGTGCCACCCAGTGCCTCGATCAGGGCAGGTGCTGCATGCTGACTCATCATTAAGCTCCGGGCATCATTAGATATCCTCATATAAATGGCAAACCCTTCCCACGAGATCCCAGTTTAACGCCAATGTTGGGCTTTGCAGGTGCAAGAAGAAAGCAGGAAAAAAAGGCAAAAACGTTGCCAATGGATTGGGGGAAGGTTACAGAACTGTGGGCGAGAGACTGGATTCTGACTTGCAGATGGAAAGCTGGTGGCATCTATGGAGGTGTGCAACACTAGCTCTGTATGAAACAGTTCCTCTAAGGAACAGTTTTGGAGCAGGCAGCATGCCCATGGGTCAAGATGTGCTATACACTGTTGCAAATGTGAACAAAGAGTCTGATCCTTAAGGTCACATTTGCAACATACAACTGAGATCAGTAGAACATGAAGACTGTATCTGTATCACCCTTCATTTTCACTGCAATGTTCCTGCATAGTGAGAATGTGAAGGAAGGGTGAAAGGACTGAAAGTCTGTGTCACTAGATTTGCAAAAGAAAATGACTTTCCAATTAAAACTCAGTATTGCAGCCTGACAATGTTTCATTCTGGACCCCAAGTCAGCCTGCAGGCTAAGACATCACTTTAACCTACCTCTGCTTCCAGTGCAGCTTGCCAGGCAGCAGCTTGGCTGTCACATGTTGAGAAAAGAGCTTAGAAACATATTTTTGTCATTCTTTCATGTTCTTTGACTAATTAGTTGCTGCAAAGCTTCTGGGCCAAACACAGAATAACCTAATGTAGTGTCAGGAAAAGCAATCGCTTACCCAGAGATGTGCATTTCCTCAACAAAGCTTGTCTGACACATTATAATGCAAATCCTCGCAATTATTAACATAAAATTCTTCCTTTCACGTATTTCCTCTGTGTTAATGAAACCCATCTAATAATCTGGATCCCGGATGAAAGACTCCAGATGCAATTTCAAGACTGACACACTAATTGTATTTTGTCATACACTGCAAACCAGCATATAGCTAAATATTCGATATGGATGAAGGAAAGTACTGCAAACCTAACACTCAGTCTGGTTTTAAGCACAGAAATAAGCTACCAGTAAGCATTAGTTGTAAGCCAAACCATACCAGTGCCTGAAAAAGGACCCTCCTTTTCCACTCCTCCATGAAGTGTTGCAGATATTTAGTAAAAATACGGATTTTCTGCTGTATGAGACACTACTGTACATCATCAGTGACTGCCATCCTTTCAGAAACACAGCCTACTTGCTCACCTAACATTAATATGCCTCTAAAACCTCTTTAATTCAGCTTTTCAACATACCATTAACTTTGTAATGAGAAAGTAAACATGCTCTCAGTAATCACAAGCTCTGTGGGACAGTGTCCATCTACATATACAATTAATAGAAGGTACACTTGTACATATTACTGAAGTCCACAGCACAATATCCAGGCTCTAGAAAAGAAAGCTTGGGGTGAAACTTATGTGGTCTTGAAGGAATATGATTCAAATCAACACAACTCTAATCGGATCAAGCCCTTATTGCAGGATTTTTAAGATCTGCAGTATCAGAGCTTATGTTTGGAATTTTATTGGGGCTATTTGCCTGTATAAAGGCCCAAAGATTGGATCACTAAGCATCTGTGATACACTACAATCCACTGCCACAACCATGATTTGTTTTTACAGCAAATTAGCATTACATAGCCAAGTATAATTATGTAGCCAGCTGGGCTTTTACAAATTCCTTACCGTTGTAGGAAGAGTCTTATTTGCTTCTTGATAGACATGTTGTTCTGAGACTAAACTGCTAGGGAAATAACCAACTGGCCCCATATGGTCTTCATACTGTTCTCCATAAACCTTCAAGCAAGGAGGTGCATAATTAGTTACCTTAAAACAATCCTCATCTGGTTTGAGCTGGTTTATCATTTAGTCAAAAGGAGTTACCAACAGTGTTCTTACTCTGGTTTGACATTTCCTAGGTTCCAACTAGCTGGTACATGAAACAAACCATTCACAGAAGTTCTGATCCAGGAATAGTTTTTTTGAGTAAATTAATATTGCCTACAGTTTATCTGGATTTTTTTTATATACATGCAGCTAATATTTATCTTTGCTTCCCTTAAATTTAAGAGTTTTATCACCAACTGCGATAAAAGCTTTCTCTTCCATAGTTTCAGCAAACAGCCACAAAAAAAGAACTGCTGACCCCTTAAGGTTCTGTTCACAATTACCATATAGTTATTGAAGGTATTTCTTTTAAAAAAAAAAAAAAAAAGAAAAAAAATTAAAGCCCTCAAGAGTCCTCAAGCAGTTTAAGTTTAAACATTCACTTTTAAAACTAAGTTACTGCTTTAAGCACAACAGCTCAGAGTTACAATCCTTTACAATTACTTGACAAAAATGTGTGTTAATCTACTTCCAGTTTGTTCATATACACAAGAATCTCCTCTTACACTTCCAGCCCAGAATTCTCCAGAGTCTTTTTCTTTGACTAGCTTTGCATAAACATAAATCAACTGCCCCTTTTTAATATCAATGAATCTGCAGTCTGAAGCATTATAATCCTCTTCTGCTCTGGCAAGGGAAATAGTGTCTAGGAAAAAAAGCAAACCAACAAAACAATGAGGTGAATGAATTTATATATCTATATAAATACATATACACTTTTAGAGAAATACAAATGCATGTGAGCTTGTATGTACATAGGTAAAACTATTTCTACAGATAGGAGAGGATTATCCTGATATTTTAATAAAAATCTGCAGGAATTAGTTCTGCTTCTTCTTCTATTCCCCAAGAAGCAAAGTGACAGCTTACGAATGTGCCATTTCATCACAATGGAAGTTACAACCCTTTCTACACTTAACTTTCAATTGAGTAAAAAATGTCCTTTTCAAAACCCCTTCTTGCAGTAAAATTGCATGTGACATTCCACAAAAACCCTCCCACTCTACTTTTAAATTTGACAAGCCAATGCAAATATAACAGAGCTAAATAAACAGAGTACTTCTCCCTCGCACTACAGCATCCAAACTCCACTGTCATTTTTTAGACTATTTTGTACTCAAAACTAAAGCTAATTTACTTACAGACACAGTCATTATCAGCACACAGCTTCTTACTGGCAAGCTTGTCCATAAAAATTCCAGTTGCAAGAGGACACATTAATCTGAGACACAAAAGGAAAACCACCAAATAAACACGCTGTGCCATTTTCTCTGCAGCACCTGCCAAATGCATGCCAGGTCCAGCAATCCCCGTCTTTTATGGAAGAGGCAGACACCTGGACAAACACACTGGACCAATGGGAAGGGGCTGGGGGACATTCCACTCCACCAGAGGAGCCGCAGGCAGGGGGAAGACCTCAGAATCCACTCACGAAACTGAATACCCTCCCAAAGCCATCCTGCATTAACGTTTCAATCAGCAACTGTATTATTTAACCATGCTAAGCCTTCCTAGCATTGTCCATAGCCTTAATCTTACCTCAAGCAAAGTTTGAGAACGAAAATTAAGTCAGACGACCATGGTAAGCAGCAAAGTAAATTATATCCTTACAAATCCTCCCGTCCTTCATTTTCACAAATGCTTACTGACAAGCACAATCTTCCCTGGACCGTAAACCCTCAGTGGCAGAGATTTCCCTGTTTCTGTCTACAGAAAGGACCTACTGGGATCCTAGCAGATGGGTGCAATGTAAACAAACCATTAGGGAGTTGAAACTCAGTAAAAAGGTTTTGCAAGTCATCAATTCAAATGTGAAATCTAAGAGTTCAAGCACTGCGTACTTGTACAGGCAAGATCCCTTCCACAGGGAGCTGCAGCCAGAACAAGACAGGCTACACCAGGACAGCAAACATTTCACTTTCTGTACAGCTGAACTCAGTTGAGGGTTTGCAGGTCCAAGACACTGAACAGTGCCACAAGCTGACTCAAGCGGCTGTCTTACGCCTTGGGGAGGACATCAAGAATACACCTCCCTTCCCCAAATCTTGTCCCAACATGAAGCAAGACTCGTGGGGAGTATTTTAATGGAAGTAGATGCAAGCACATGCACAAAGGAACACCCACCAGAGATGCTGTGCTGTAAGTAATTCACAGCACAGGTGTCAGGCTACAGAAGGCTAGTCTGGATCAGTCCTTAGACATGACCAAGGGCAAGCTTGGAAATTCCCAAACCGCACTCCAGAGAACCAGTGCTTCCTGATTTGTGAGGAGGCCCAAAGAGCCTCCTCTAACCTTATAGCCCATTATTCCTTCCTCCAGTCTCCCATATGTAGTGTCCAACTTCTGTGGCAGTCAGCCCCAAACCCCTGTAAGCCAATAAAGATGAAGAGCAACGGGAGTCTCACATACACAAACTAGTGGGATGCAATGACAGCATAATTAATACCTATTAAAATTATAAAAAAACTGCAGAAGGAAAACCAAAAGGATCATGATGGAATAACCATCACTTTTGCTACCTTACAAGAACATTGAAATAATTTTCACTCATAAGTATTAGAATACTCGCAAAAATCACACACCATCACTAGGAAAAAAATAAAAATATATATGTATATGGAGATGGGCCAGTAATTGAGGTGACTGTGGCAGGGGCATCATTTTGCAACATACTGCAGAAGCAGATGAAATTTCAATTTTTCAGGTCTTGTGCAAAAAAATGTGGCTTATGTGGCCACACAGAAAACACTATGACTTTTTAAAGTGATTTTTTGACCAAAATATTTAGAACAGTTACAACTCACAATACTACATCTGATTACTTCACCGCATCCAGTGCATTTCATGTCGCACAAGACCGGTAAAGATTTTTAACATATGAGAAAAAATAAAAGTAAAACAAACCAAACAAACCCAGAAGCATTAGGACAGGTATTTCAGAAAAGCCTGCCTAAAAAACAGTTTGATGTTTCTTCTTGTGGACTTGCTACTACTGCCAGCCATCAAGACAAAGGCAAGTTGTACTACAGTACTATCAATTTCTACCCACAGCTGGGAAAAAACGCTACTAATGATGTCTTTTTACTTAAGTGACAAAATTACTCTTGGTGAGAAGCAGCTGTCCCCTTAATAATGAGGCTGATTATTGAGTGCTGAATTTAT